CAGAGGTAAAATTTTCCCATAAATGGAGGAAGTAGAATGGACTGCATTGGAGGATAAGTGGATTCAAAGTAAGGTGTTCGGTAGAGACCAAATAAGCATTGGTTAGGCCTGTTGTAGCCATTTTCTATGAACTTAGATCTTGGACTAGATGACCTCCAAGATCCCTAAGACAGATCCTATTATTATATTTGTGCTACCTTCCTCACAGCATTATTGTTAGGATTAAATTATGTAATTCATGCAAAATTCTTTATAAACTGGAAATTGTTATATCAAAATAAACTATTACAAAGACACATTTCAACAATGGAATTCTATGATTTGAGAAAGCTCCTAGCACTAGGACTTTTGTTTCTTTCCTGCCAGAGGCACTGAAAAACAAAATGCTAGTATTGCTAAATGACAATAAAGATTAAACTGTTAATAGGACTAAATGTGTTCATTGCTCTTAACTGTTATGAAGAAAAGCTGTGTGTTTAAGAATTTCATTACTTTCTATAATTAAAGATTAAATTTTAAATACTGTACAGAAGTGCTAGTGTATCTCTAGGCTAGATCCTATGTTTTATTCTCCTACTTGACATTTAAATTATTTGTGTGTCTGGAGGTTATCTGTCTAGTTCTTTAAAAAATATGAACAATATACTACATATGAAATTAATGATGGAAGAAATTGCCTAAGGTAATTTTATCTATCCCTAGGATGATTTCACCCACACATGTGCATGCACACACACAAATTTATTTTTTTTAACCAAGGATGATAATTATAAAGGTATGTTTGGGTCATGCTATGTCTAGCATATTTATCAAGACTCCCTACACTTTCTGATTTTCATATCAATAAGAATTTCATCTTCATAGGTTTACACTCCAGAAAGAAATGTAATAAGCATATGGAAGTGACTTTATCACAAAGAAGATTTGTGCAGATTTTGCTATTATACTTTGATAGATTTATGACCTCATAAATCCAAGTAATCCCTCAACTGGTACACATCCCAAACTGTCTACACTGTCTGATCTTCTATAGTTATTATGCATAACCTGCTATAACTCCTCCATAAAGAGCTACATGATAACATACTGGAGACATTCCTTCTAACCTTTAAACATTTCATTACTAACAGTAGAGTGCTCAGTTATCTTCTTGATTTGTAACCAACTTACTTCCTTTTCCTATTATGAATGTTCTTCATGATACCTTTTATACCATTCCTATCTGATAAATTGTCACTAGAAACATGTTGCAGACTACTTGTATATACCATGTGTCTCTCCATTACTTTTTTGGATTGCTAATAATTGTGATTCTTTGGAATTTCCAGTTTTTGATGATTTGAAGCCATATACCATCAGTTGTAGAATAATGGCTTCAGAGAGTTTTTTTCCTTATTCAATTGTTTTTTTTTCTTCAGAGAATAGTTTGGAATCATTAAAGCCCTTCATAATTTCCCAAATGTAGTCCAATTCACTGCCTATGTTTATCCAGTTTCGAGCCTTGCCTATTTTCTATTGGCAATTTCAAGCAAAACAAAAATAATATATAATTACATAGCATATATACTATATATTTATACAGTGTGTGTATATAAATGGGACTATGTAAATGGGAGGCCACTGCATGCATATTGTAGCCTGAACAGTAGATTTTCTTTATTCTTTATTCACTGGGCTAGATGAGGTCCTTAAAATTGATGTCCTGATAATAAATCCTGCAACTTATGACTTGAGGGAAAGGAGGTTGGTGGTTTCAGGTATTAAGGTCCCAGCTAATCATGAAAGTATCAAAGCATCTATTGCACTATAACTGCCTGACATTTCAGTTGATATTTATTGATGTACCTCTAATAAAAACAATATTTGTGGAGCTATATTATTATTGAGTAGAGCTTTATCCTACATTGTGTTTTCATTTCTTAGCCTGCATCCATAGAAGCAAAGTGTTCTAAATGAGTCAGATAATATTCCTCTTGTACTCTTTCCTGGTCAAGCCATATCTGTAGTATTGTGTTCAGTTCTGAGAGTCATATTTAAGGAAAGACACTGAGACTTTGAAGTGCTTCAAGAGTATTTTCAACAGAATACTGAAGGGTCTGGAAACCATGCCACAAAAGGATCACTGGAAGTTGCTGAGCCTAGGGGAAGAAGGTTGCAATAGAAATCTTCAAAGACAACATTTAGCCTAGAGAAGAGGATTATAATAGAAATCTTCAAATATGTTAAATGTTGTATGAGAGAAGAATTACAACTGTTCTGCTTGGCCTTGAGGGACCAACAAGTATCAATGTATGAACAAAAGTTATGGGTAGGAAAATTTGGGCCTAATAAAATGAAGAACTTATTAACAAACTGAGTTATACAAAACTCAAGTAACTTCTGGATGCAATGAGTTCTACAGCCCTAGAAATTTTTAAGATACTGGATAAGTGGGTGATAAACTTGCCAGTGATATTATGGAAAGGCTTCCTGTTTCAGGCATGGATTAGACTAGACTAGGTCCTTCTAACTCTCAAATTCTCTGATTGAATACTAGTAATGTAGAGAGAAATATCCAATTAGCATCTCCCTTCTTACTAACAAGTTTTCAGTTGTGGCCCTGCACTAACCCCTTTCAGTTGGTTGCCAGTTTGGTGTCCTCTGCTCACCATCTCTTCCATATGTGATTGTCCTTCTCATCAGTGAGATAATGCAAGAAAAATAACTGTAATGAGTTATTTCCATTCCTTCCTAATTCTGTTCCTTCTTTCTCAATAACTAAAAATATGATGCCATAATCTTTGTCTGTAGCACTATAAACTTATAGTAATACTGTCTTTCTATATGTTATCTTTAGCCCTACAGCTGGATATAGATATTTTAAAAAGTTCATGTGATTGTATAAAGTGTGAAGTGATTATCCATACCAATATTATTATATTGTAGAAGAGCATGTTTCATATTTTCTCAAATATGTATATTTGTCCTCATTTTGCCACATTTATACAACTCTTGATTTTGTATTTGATGGTATATCTGTTAAAGAAAAAATATTTTTTACTCCAATCACTATATCATTTCAGTTGTTTTTATGTTCTAGTTTTTATTATTCCCCTCTTTTCATTCTCCTGTGAATATATCCTTTCTTGGAGTCAGAGTGCAAAGAACACAACTATTCAAGTTTTTCTTTTCTTGTAGAAAAATAAAGTTTACTTTTCTTTTTTTTGGTAACTAAAAGATACATTTTTATGAAGACTTTCCTACCTGAAAGACTAGTTTATCAGGGTATAATCTGCCATAGGTCTTTGCATTTCAATTATTGGGCATGAAATATGAATTTTTTTCCTTGATTATATCTCTTAAGTAACTGATGATGAAGTGCTTAATTTTTTTGGTAAAACAATAAACAAAACACAAACCCCAAATTCAATCATTGCTGCCTGTTGTTTTGTTGTTGCAGTGGTTAGATTCTTGCACCCCCTCTGAATCAACAAAAAAAACTCATTTTATTTCACTTTGAGAAAACTCTTCATTTTTCCCCTAGACTTTCTATTTCACGCTGTTTGAATTTTATTAAGCTCTTTTTACACAAAAGCTAAGCACAGGCTATATGGTGCCCTACGGGATCCCAATTGCTGATTCTATAATGTCTAAAACCTCTTGAGACATTTCATTTCTTCTGGAAATTCCTTTGAGATTCATAGAGAAGCAAGTAAAATCCTCTCAGTTGCATGCAGGAAAAATTGAGCTACAAGGAAATTTTCTGTACAACTTTTGTATAGTCTCACCTGGAACCTAAAAAATTTTAATCAATCCAGTTAATCATTCTGATTAAGTTAAGTATTTTTCCATAAATAGGTCTATGCATTGTGGTCTTTTCCTAAAGAGCTTCCATCTTTTTACATTATTGACTTTCATTCGATAATCATTTCATTTATTAAGAACCTATTACGTGCAAAGCTCCTCTAGATTATTAGTGAGATACAAAGATAATTAAGAAACTCTTTTGTAGAGCTTATAGTTATGTTTTTATTATTGAATATCTTCTAAGTCATATTCTAGGTGTTTTTCCATTGATCAAAGTTCCTACCTATAATTTTGTATCTATTTATTATTACCTGTTCCAAAAGGATAGGTCATTACTTCCATTGTCCTCATTCTTTGATTCCACATATCATTTTGATAATACCTAGGATATGCTTATTTTGGCCACAGAAATTCAAGAAGCATGCTAATGAGAGGTACGATCCACGTTGGTAGATGAAGTGCCCATAATAACTACCATTTACACAGCACTTAAAGGTTTTCAAAGTGTTTTATATATGTTATCTCATTCGATCCTCAAAATCCTACAAAGTAGGTGCTCAGAAAACTGAGGGAGAACAAGGTTAACTGACTTACCAAAGTTACACAACTAGTAAACGTCCAAGATAGGATTTGAACTCCAATATTTCTGACTTCAAGTTCAACATTCTATCTATCCACTGCATCACTTAGCTGACTAGTATCAATGAAATCATAAATCTTTGAAAGGTATAAGTATTAATTAAAATCTATAATCTTTTTTGTTTCCCTAAATGTCATAAATCAATAGTTTTCTAATCTGAATAAAATGTTTCAATTAAAACAATACCATCTCAGAGTTAAGGTTCCTGTGGACAATGGACATATTTAAAGAAAATAACTAATTATATTTATTATTTAGCCCATTACATAAATGCACCTTGTAATGCCCTATGTCAATATGAATATTCTTGAGAATTTTTCACAAATTAAAATTAATGCTGATTAAGCATCTCATTCCCTTAAATTTGCTCTCTTTTAGATCACTTGTTTTTTTTGTGATGTTTATTTGATGGTGGTGCTGGTGGTGGTGGTAGATTGTTTTTGTTTTGTTTTGTTCTTCCATATCTGCGCCAATGTTGCAAGGGATTTATTAAAACTTTAAAAATTTCAAAGAAACTTTCAACAGTAGAGCAAAGATATTCTCTTCATACCTTTCCCTTGTTCCATTCTCACAGGATGTGTGACACAGGAGAAGGACTATTCACCTTTCAAACCAGGGAAGGAGAAATGATCTATCAGAAAGTACACTCTGCAACCTTGGCAATAGCAGAACAACATGAGAGACTAATGCTAGAGATGGAGCAAAAGGCCCGGGTAAGGCCCTATTTCTGTACCTTAAATATTTGGAACACTATGTGTGTATTATGAGCAAATCTGTGCTTTTAAAAGCATATTCTTCCTTCAGGAATACAGTAGTTAATGAGTCTGTGAGTACATTTTCCCTAACCAGGTGATCAGTAGTTACAGACACTATTAGAAATAGTAATTTAATCAACTATACTTCACGTGTTCAATAGCTCTAAACAGGGTGCCTTTCCTTCTCCATATAAATGTTCATTCTTGGCTACCTAAAATGGAACACATCCCATGGAACAGATAGCAGGTGGAAGAAGAAAGGGCCCCACTACCTGTGGCTCAAACTAGACAGTGTTAACTAGGAATATAAAGCTTCTACTGTATATAACAGGCAGTTAGGTGGTACAATAGATAGAGCTCTGGGAATGGAGTCAAGAAATCATTAGTTTAAATTTGACCTCAGACACTTACTTGCTGTGCGATCCTGGGCAAGTCACTTAACCCTGTTGACTTCAGTTTGTTTGCCTCAGTTCATCATCAGCTAGAGAAATAAATGACAAACATTCCAGTATCTTTGCCAAGAAAATCCCAAAAAGGGGTCACAAAGAATTGGACATGACTGAAAATGACTAAACAACAACATCCTTGCCCTTTTCTGGTCACCCTTTATGCTAAAGCTATTCTATTTTCTCAATTCTGGGGCCACTATTGCAGAACTTGGAGCTTGTTATATTCTATTTGTAAAGGGAAAGACACACACACTCACAATGACAGAATAATATAATGTTCCATATAATGCCATATGAGAAATTTGTGTCCTGTCTAGTTTTAGAAAGTTACCTTCATTTTAATACTGAATTTTTTACCAAAGGAATAATAAGACATGAGAATCATTACAGTTAATAAGTTACCATTGTAAATATTACTGTAGGAAAATTGTTCACAAACTTTCCTCTCAATCCCTTTGAAGAAAGGACAAGAAAATAACTTGTGGTTATAGCTGCAATGACAGTATCTCTCTTTTATTTAGGGCTCAAATATAAATAGTAGGTGAAATGAAAGAGCCAAAATGATACTATAAGTCATGGCTGGTTCTTTGCTAAAAAAAAAGGAAAGGAAAGGAAAGGAAAGGAAAGGAAAGGAAAGGAAAGGAAAGGAAAGGAAAGGAAAGGAAAGGAAAGGAAAGGAAAGGAAAGGAAAGGAAAGGAAAGGAAAGGAAAGGAAAGGAAAGGAAAGGAAAGGAAAGGAAAGGAAAGGAAAGGAAAGGAAAGG